GATCAGCTGTTACACCATTACTTGCTACAATATATCCCAAGTACTTCACTTCTCGTTGAAACAAGTGACATTTCTTCAGACTTAACTTCAAATTTGCTGCCCGGAATCGTTGAAAGACTTCTGTCAGATTATTGGCATGTTCATCGAAGGATCTTCCAACTACAATTACATCATCCAAATAAACCAGGCATGTTTTCCATGTTAGACCTCTTAAAACTGCCTTCATTAATCTTTCAAATGTGGCCGGGGCATTACATAAACCAAAGGGCATAACTTTAAACTGCCAAAGCCCTGGTCCTACCGAGAATGCGGTTTTGTCACGATCAGCTGGCTTCATGTCTACTTGCCAATATCCACTTTTCAGATCGAGTGTGGAACACCAACGAGAACCAGAAAGTGTATCCAAAGAAAGGCTATTCTGGGGAAAGGATAACTATCTTTTTCAGTTACCACATTGAGCTGTCGGTAGTCAATACAAAAGCGTGTTGAACCATCTTTCTTCTTTACTAGCACTACTGGTAATGTCCATGGACTATTTGATGGTTCAATTACCCCTTGTTTGTTCATATCTTTGATGATATCTTCGGTTTCATCTCTTTTCGTTAATGGAACTAGTCTAGGTTGTTGTCTGATTGGCTAAGCGTCTCCGGTATTAATTTTATGCTTTACTATGCTTGTTTTGCCACTATCTTTCTTATCAATGGCAAAAACATCTTAAAATTCTATCAGCATAGACTTCACTTTTTTAGTTCATTCATCATCAAGATCTTGGCACGTTTTATACATCGTGTCAACAAGCTCCTTTGGATACTTAGATTTCAATAATTTCTTATTAGTATTCATAGAAGAAATCGAAGCCACGGGAATACACTGTCCGATCAAAGTTCTTTTACTTAACTTAATAGCAGTTCTCTTTAAATACATAACTCTTACAGGAACGACATCTGGAATTCTCACCAAAGCTTTTGCCATTAGGAACTCGGCATTGTTAACATCTTCGACCATCCCTAAAATTCCCTGTCGGCAGTAACCATAATTTCATGTTTATCTCTTGGTACTGGCCAATCCTTAATTGCTGCAAGTTTTTCAGGATCAGCTGTTACACCATTACTTGCTACAATATATCCCAAGTACTTCACTTCTCGTTGAAACAAGTGACATTTCTTCAGACTTAACTTCAAATTTGCTGCCCGCAATCGTTGAAAGACTTCTGTCAGATTATTGGCATGTTCATCGAAGGATCTTCCAACTACAATTACATCATCCAAATAAACCAGGCATGTTTTCCATGTTAGACCTCTTAAAACTGCCTCCATTAATCTTTCAAATGTGTCCGGGGCATTACATAAACCAAAGGGCATAACTTTAAACTGCCAAAGCCCTGATCCTACCGAGAATGCGGTTTTGTCACGATCAGCTGGCTCCATGTCTACTTGCCAATATCCACTTTTCAGATCGAGTGAGGAAAACCAACGAGAACCAGAAAGTGTATCCAAAGTAAAGTCTATTCTGGGCAAAGGATAACTATCTTTTTCAGTTACCACATTGAGCTGTCGATAGTCAATACAAAAGCGTGTTGAACCATCTTTTTTCTTTACTAGCACTACTGGTAATGTCCATGGACTATTTGATGGTTCAATTACCCCTTGTTTGTTCATATCTTTGATGATATCTTCGGTTTCATCTCTTTTCGTTAATGGAACTAGTCTAGGTTGTTGTCTGATTGGCTAAGCGTCTCCGGTATTAATTTTATGCTTTACTATGCTTGTTTTGCCACTATCTTTCTTATCAATGGCAAAAACATCTTGAAATTCTATCAGCATAGACTTCACTTTTTTAGTTCATTCATCATCAAGATCTTGGCACGTTTTATACATCGTGTCAACAAGCTCCTTTGGATACTTAGATTTCAATAATTTCTTATTAGTATTCATAGGAGAAATCGAAGCCACGGGAATACACTGTCCGATCAAAGTTCTTTTAATTAACTTAATAGCAGTTCTCTTTAAATTCATAACTCTTACAGGAACGACATCTCGAATTCTTACCAAAGCTTTTGCCATTAGGAACTCGGCATTGTTAACATCTTCGACCATCCCTAAAATTCCCTCCCGGCAGTAACCATCAGGTCTGGTCATCAAAATTTTCTCCCTGTTACTGGGTATCGTTACGTCACAAGTAGTTATTAAGCGGATAACATCTTCTTTGTTTTCATGAAACGGCAACTTTTCACCACTAATCTCAAGAACTCTATCTTTGACATTCAATAAAGCCCCAACTTTCCTCAGTAAATCCATCCCCAATATGAATTCGTCGGAGATCTCTGCAATTAATACTCTATGTTTCACTGTGGTCTGGCCAATAGATACTAACCTATTTGACTGTTGCATGCGATAATTTAAGATGGCCTCGTACTACTTCTGGCCGTGCAATAGTTCTTTTTGCACATGTATCTACCAAAAACGATCTACATTTATTATTGATACGACCCTCGATGTACTAGCTATGAATTTCACCGGAGGACGTAATGTTCACAGTTACTATGGGGGCTGTGTTTCTCGAGGTCGGCAATTGCCCCTTGGTGTCGACCCGTTCTAGTTTTCCGACTGTTGTATCATTTTCTTGCAATTACGGCAAATGTGACCTACGTCATCACAATTCCAACATCTGGGCTCATGTCTCTTCGGCATCTTGTTACGAACTACTTTTCGTACCATTTCTTCCAGATGTTTATCATTTAATTCGTCAGCTTTTTCAATGGTTCTTACTCGATTGCTCCGTGAAGTTTGACTAGCTGTTTCGTGTTCCAAAGCAATGGCGAACGCTTTATCTAGAACTTTCGGCCTTGATAGTCGTAAAGCTTTCTGTAATTTGCACCTTGTAGACTTGTTGTAGATGGGCATCTCCATAACGTTTGTCTAGTCGAGTGAACGAGGTCTGATAACATTTTTCTTGGCCCTCAGGAATCGATCTTAGGATATCCGCAGCATCACCTCGTAAAACAGTAGTTAAGGAAACAACAACAAGGGGTATTCCATCAAATGGTGGCAATTTGATGAAATGATATCTCATATGATGTATCAATGCGTCTTTAGGTGATTCATATTTCACTACCGGAACTAAAGCTACCGTATTAATTGGTGGTAGCATTTGCCTGTAAGTTATCATGGTCTACAATTGTTTGATCTTCACTTCTACGTTGTTTACATTTTCTGTATCTGATCGAATGTTTTATAGACTTCTTCAAATTTTTCATTATTCTGAGAACATACTTCGTGGAATCTTCTAGAAACCTTTTCGAGTTTCTCGTCGTTTTGACTAGCTACTTCTTTAATAATTTGAGACGTTTCATCAAATCTTTAATCGTTTTTTTTTCAGTTTTTTTTTTAAGTTTTTTCAATCATTTGCGACACATATTCAAATTTCTTGTCGAAGCTTCTAGACACATTTTCGAATTTATTATCATTTTTCCTAGAAGTATCTTATATTTTCATTAAAACTACTTCTTCTGCTGATTGAAAATGGAATGTCTCTGGATAACTTCCATTCTTGTTGAGAACATTATTTGGTCGTTCTTGGTTCTTCTTCGACCCGCTGCAATCTTCATCGCGTTCTTCTAGTTGCTTACGCAACTGTTTTACTGAAAGTTGAACTAGCAGCATCTTTGGTCAGGCACACACGTACTTTTAAAATGTTTTTTTTTTACAAAGATCGTTACCGAACTACGCGGGTGTTCCCGACGAACAATAGTTTCAAAAGTTCGAAAGTCTTTTTTTTATTTAGCAATCACTGCTGAATCTATTTCTAAATTTCACACCGGACACCAACTGTAGCGAGATTAAATAAAACGAGCGGTTCGAATTTATAATATATTTATTTATAAGTTTACACTTTGATAATATCTTAACAACTAAACTAACTCATAACTTCGTTACATATATATATATATATATATATATATATATATATATATATATATATATATATATATATATATATATGTATATATGTACCACAAGTATTGTTCTAGAATTATCTCAAGTAGTCCCACCTCTAATTCGTTGTTTGAAGTGTGAATATCTACAGCGCTCGATATTATGCCGGAAAGTTCTCGGCGCTTCGAGATGAAACCGTTACATGAGCCACGCCGAATGCATGTTCGTATTCGTAACAATATCTAAAAATAAGTAGAGAAGAGTGAAGATCAATTTTAATTAGGAGGGTAGTTGGGGGGTTGTTTTCACTGATTTTTTTTTGTAAAAAAAGTAGGTACCGACCTTATTTTGATCATAAGTGCTTAATTTTTATGCTAGAAATTTTTTTAAAAAGTTTAATTGCATACTTGAAAAAAGACAAGTTTTCCTTGAAAAATGCAAAGTTTTTCCGTTATTTGGCTTTGAATATTTCAAATTATTCTCTTGAAGAAAAAAAACTTTTAACATGCCATAATCTCTGTTTGTATTAGTCGTAGAAAAAATATACAAAAATAATTTTATTTATAAAAGATACAATTCAAAAATACAAATCAAATATTAGTTTTACGAAGAAAATGTAAGGAACATTTTTTTCTTAAAATTACCTTTTCTACGATTTCCATCGTTAAAATGTAATGTAAAATTCTCACCCTCGAGATGGGGTGGCAACCACCGCCAAGGATTGAGAGTACAGCGGCATTTTATAGAAAATGATTTTTGGGCTATTTATCTTCTGTAAATCGATGCTGAACGAAAAAATTGATGCTTTATTTCCTGGCCTATAAGTGTTGTGGGACTACAGAATAGATCAATTCACGCCACCGCTGTGTTAGTGAAACTAATAATGATCCAGGTATTGTAACGCTACAAGGGCAATATACGAATAGCAAAGACAAAAGAAGAATTTATATTATAAATTTTAGTTTTAAAAGATATTTTCAAAAAGAAAATTGCAGTTTTTATTTTGTTTATTTAATTTATTAATTCATAAAGCCTTTTATTTAAACCAGCGTTTATTAAACTTACCTTGATTTCTATTGGACCTCTGCATTCGAGTTCGAAAGTCCCGAATGTGTCTAAAACATCTTTAGTAGCGGTGCTAATGTGTATCTTGAGAGATTCCCCAGTGGATTCCATACGAGACGCAGTGTTCACAGTGTCTCCAAAAAGACAGTAGCGCGGCATTTTAAGTCCCACTACGCCAGCCACAACGGGTCCTGTAAGTAAAAAAATGAAATATTTTAACAAGATAGAATAAATTCATCTTTTAGACATCATTGATCAATAACATTTATGACAAATTATACAAATTGTAAAAAGAAGAAATTAAGGAAAAAAAAGAGAAATTAAAACGCTTTGGAATTCTATTATTTGAAAATATCATAAGACATACAGGCTTATATTGAAGACGATAAACTTTTTGTGTATTAACGATAATTCACAAAAAGGTAACTCATCATCATCAACTTTTACTCGACAATCCCTTATGGATCCTGACCTGCTTCAAGATTAATCGCCATTCTGTTCGGTTTCTGGCAACGTGTTGCTATCTTCTGATCTCTAGTATTCCTAAGTCGGTCTCAACTCCATCTAACCACCTAATTAGTGGTCGGTCTCTGCTTTTTCTTTCTATAGATGTTCCTATCGTTAGCATTTTAGCAATCATGTTGTCAGGCATTCGTATGATGTATCCGGCCCATCTAAGTCGCTGTGTTTTAATGGACGTTACGACATCTGGTTCCTTAAAGAGTTGGTACAATTCGAAATTAATTATTTTACGCCACTGCCCTTGATCGTTTATAGCTCCAAATATTTGGCGGAGTATCTTACGCTCGAATATTCCCAGATGTCTTTCATCCTTCTGCGTTAGAGTATATGTTTCCGCCTCGTATGTGAAGAACGACCTCGGCAGTGTTTTGTATATAATAATTTTAGTTTTTCTTTGGATATTTTTTGAGTGGAATTGTTTTTGGAGTCAATAGTATACCCTATTTGTAAGGTTTCTCCGTCTTTTAATTTCTTCGCTTGTTTTATCGGTAGTAGTCACCGCGATAATAGACCGCTTCCGAAAGTAAAATCTGGATATAATAGTAGATAACAAACTTCGACAGTACAATTTTTTACAGGTTTTTAATTACTTGTCATTTAGTAAAATATTGTAATTTTTTTATCATTTGATAGAAATAGTAAAATGTTACATTATTTTTTTAACGACCTTACCTGTATGTATTCCAATACGAAGTCTTAGTGGTTCATTTGGGATGTGACGTATACGGAACTTCCTAACATCGTTTAATAGAGCAAGTGACATACGAGCTATTTCCTTAGCATGACAATTACCATTTCTCTTTGGCAAACCAGATACGACCATATAAGCGTCACCAATAGTCTCCACCTGGAAAGAAAAATAGAATTGAAACTCCTACGTTAGCCAAGTACAATATATAGTTAACGTTTACGTAGAGTTAGACGTTGACGTAATATCCAAACTTATGTCACGCGTTGAAACTATCTCTTTTTTAAAGTTAGTCTAGTTATTCATTTTTCATTGAAAATGAATAATTTTATTATAAGTCGAAATGTTTTATTTAAAAATTCTCTATAGAAGGTATATAATTAAAAAGACCCTTCCCAAACCACTAAATATTTGATATTTAGAGGTTTTATTGAAATATGGATAATATATTGAAATGAAATAATATTTGATATATTATTTCACGATAAGAAATATGCAAAGAAAATTTTTGTTCTTTTTAATTTTTTTATTAAAGAAGCAAAATATTAAATAACAGATGTTACAAAGATAAATAATAATCAACGTGAATACAATAAAGAGCTTGGGAAGTTAAAAGCAGTAAATAAACAATTAAGAAAAAAAAAAACAGTTTAATTGAGGGACATATTATACACTCTACCCCAGTTAAAAGGGAAAAATAACCTTCTCTTATAACCATTTGGAGGTATACCTAAAAGTATAGGCAACAACTATTAAGGTAGGTGACTAAATATGCCATGTAAAGCTACTAAATATGTAAGAAAAGGGTTGAAGAAAAGTCCAAAGAAATAGGGCTAGCGGTCAAAGTAGATAAAACTAAAGCCCTAATATGGACAAAGCTTGAGAACGGAACTTGCTTTTCTCAATAGACGATTTAAATATTGTAAAAAGAACTTACATACCTGGGCGTACAGATAACTGAGGAAGGTAGCAAGAAGGAGAAAATGCAGATAAGCAAAAGTCTTGCTAACAAAGCATACTTCTTTCTGACGCAGGTGTTTGAATCCAAAGGCATTTATAGGAAAGTAAAGTTTAAAATATATAAAACCATTACGACCAATAGCAATATATGAAGCAGAAACATGGATCATAACAATAAACATGAAAACAACAGAAAAAAGAAAGAAAAAACAATAAACCTATTAATGCTTTTGAAAGAAAAATATTGAGAAAGATATTGGGAACTATCTACGACAATGGTATGTGGAAAATAAGGTTCAACTATGAGTTATAACAATATTACAAAGAACCCTCTATAGCAAATTATGCAAAAATACAATGACTATGCTGGGCAGGTCATCTTATAAGAAAGGATAATAACACAACACCTAGTAGAACGCTTAGCGGAACTATAGTTGGCAAGGAAAGGACCCTTAAGCTAGCAGGGACAAATGAGCGGAATCCAATTTAACCTACGTAATATTTTTTACCCATTTTCACCAATTTATTACCACCCTAATAATTTGTCACCACCAAAAAAACCTTAAGGGGAGCGATTCTGCTGGCTTAAGGTTCAAGCTAGCAGAATTAAAAAAAAAACTTTTTGCCAATGGCATATTTTACTACCCATTTTTTACTAATTTATTACTACGTTAATAATTTTTTACCACTAAATCACCCTTAAGGGGATCGATTTTGCTGGCTTACGGTTAAAACTAGTAGAATTTTCAAAAAAAATATTTATGATATACCACAGTGCTCTGCTAGGTTTTTAAAAATTTATTACCTCCTTAGTAATTTTTCACCCGTTAACTACTCCTTATGGAAGGCCAATATTTCTGTTAGGTTTAAATTTAAGGTGAAAAAATATTATTTTACAATTTTACTCTCTTCTACTTATAACTGAAATAAAAAAGTATTCTGTTAAGTTTAGAATAAACTTGATCACCATGATAATTTTTCATCCCAAAACCAATCTTATTTAGAAACGTTCCTGCTAGCCTAACATTCGAGCCAGCGGAATCAATAAAAAGTATTTTTGAAATATCACAGTGTTCTGCTAGGTTTTTAGGAATTTATTACCACCCTAGTAATTTTTTACCCTCAACTAACCCATGTGGAAAGTCAACAATTCTTAGATTAAAGTTTAAGGTGATGAAAAATCTATTTTTTAATATTCTGGTAAGTAACTTTCACCACCCTGATAATTTTCCACCAGGAAAGCAATTTTTTTTGGAAGCGTTCCCGCTAGCTAAATATTCGAGCCCACAGAATTTCGAAAAAATATATTTTTGAAGTACCACAGTGTGTTGATAGTTTTTTACAAATTTATTACCACCCTATTAATTTTTCACTTCTTAACTACTCCTTGTAGGAAGTCATTATTAAGCTATTAAGCGGAAGCTCGAATATTAAGCTAGCTTATGAAAATAATAATTTTGAAATACTACATGATTCTGCTCGACTTTTACTAATTTTTGGCCTCTCAACTAAACCGTGGTAGCTTAGGTTAAAATAAAAAAAAGTAATTTTTAAGTACCACTGTGTGCTACAAAGCTTTTACAATTCATTTACCACCTACACAATTGTTTACTCCTCTATAAGAAGCCAATAATTCTGCTAGGTTGAATTTTGAACTGACAAAACAAAATTACAAAAGGTATTTTTAATAATTTTTTTGTATTGTACTTACTTTTATTTCAATTGTTTACTATTTTTTGCTATCTTCATATTTTTCACTTAACACAGTGGGCATAATTCCACACTTTACGTTCTAATTTTGGAAGCGTAAAGTCGCACTTTTTCGTCCGGTAAAAAAATGCACGTTTGCACATTTCAAGAGATAAAAATCAACCATAGACGTGATCGTGCGTAGACGAATTTGCACTGGTGTTTACTATTAAAAATTACTCAAAAACTATTTTACTCAGCATAAAACACACTCAGGGGCAGTACAGAGGCGGTATATTTGCAATTTATTGCCAAAGTTAAATAATAGTGAAGAGGGCGATATCAATCTAAAATCCGATTAAGACTGCAGCCCCCATTTCTTGATTAGCGGTACACTTCGCTCAGGTCTATGGATGTACACAATAAATACAAATATTTTAACAATAGGTGCGCAAGATATCCCGACCCTACTTTACAATTAGGTAATTAATGTAATAGACTATTTAGTCTACTAGATAGAAATATTCTATTTAGAAATAGAATATTTCTTACCTGGTAGTTATTCTGTGAAATATAACAATTCCATTGTATTTACTAAAACTCAACTTGATTTCAGTTATTTTATATTCATAAAAGGGACTCGTGATTCGATTTCTCTTAGCCATGTATTCACAACTATAATCAGAGTCAATTTGTTAAAACAGTTAAAATGTATAATTTTTGTAATAAAGTATTTTCATATTTTTAATTTTTAAACATTCAAAAAATAAATACTAGTTAGCACAGAGTAACATTTCAGCATGTTTTTAATTAAGGTAGTTAAGAAAACAATGACTGGGCTGGTAAAAATATAATAAAAATCTAGTAGAGCACTTTTGTATTTCCAATAAGATTTAGCATTTAGCTAGCGTGAATGCATCGCTTGTTGAATGTTTCTCATAAACTGTGGCTTAGGGAGTAAAACATTATAAGAGTGGATAAAATTCAGTAAAAACCTGGCAAGCAATTTATTCTTTCAGTTACAAGAAGACTACAGTAAAACAGTAAAAATAGATTTTTTATCACCTTAAATATTAGCCCAATGGAATTATTGACTTCTCATAAGGAGTAGTTGAGGGGTAAATAATTACTAGTGTCGTAATAAATTTATAAAAACCTAGCAGAGCACTGTGGTATATCATAAATATTATTTTTGAAATTCTACTAATATTAACCGTAAGCCAGCAAAATCGTTCCCCTTAAAGGTGGTTTGATGGTAAAAAATTATTAGGGTGGTAATACATTAGTGAATAATAGGTAACAAAATATGTCATCGGCAAAAAGTTTTTTTTCCGAATTCTGCTAGCTTGAACCTTAAGCTAGCACAATCGCTCCCATTAAGGGTGGTTTGGTGCTGAAAAATTATTAGGGTGGTAATAAATTAGTGTAAAATGGGTGAAAAAATATTATGTAAGTTAAATTGGATTCCGCTCATTTGTCCCCGCTAGATTAAGGGTCCTACCAAGGAAATGGCTTAGAGGCAGAAGCTAGGCAGGCCAATTCCCGAATGGCTGTAGCGCGAATAATTGTAGAGAGAATAATAAATACTAGAGAGGACTAAAGTATATTTATTAACGATGACCTTTCCAAAGAAGATAGAGCAATCCATGTGTTAATCAAGAAAAGAGTAAAAGATTCTCAAAACCCTTATATTTTTAAATTTTTAGATTTTTAGATTCTTGATAAAATTATAGACAAAATTTGTATAAGGTACCATGTTTAGGTCAAAACTTTTGAGTTACATTTTGAGTTATTTATCTTTTTTCAAAAATTTTGACAGATAGAGACAAATTTTTGAAAGTTAATAGTTCATCCATTTACAAACATATTCTTTTGGAAATCGTTGCATACAAAAATTAGATATCGTTCTTAAAGAAATTTACATAGAGATTAAATTTTTAAATACAGGGTGTTCACAAATGATACCCGATTTCTTTAAACTTCAAACCACATTTAGTCAATCATTTTAAATAAAATACCCTATATTTTATAATTTTAGTGAAAAAATAAGTAAATTATGTTTCAAATAATATATGGGTTCTCTATCCCTAAAGTTAATACTTTGGACATAATTGTGGTTTAAAGTTAATGGTTAGATATTCATTGTTTTAATTTAGCAGGCCACGTATCAAGATGTAATAATTGTCGTTTTTTCTGGTTACTGGCACGTTTACAAAAAAGAAAGACAACTGAAACTAAAACAACTGAAGAAAGACTATAAAAGGTAAACTAAGCCACAGTGTATGGAAAACAATGTTGGCCGAATGCGATTAAGATTTGATGGGCAAATTACACAAAATGCCTAAAAACGGAAAAAATTATTTAACTAGATCAGACATTTGGCACAGACAGAAAGATCAGTATGGACAAGAAAAATTAGAGAAATACCACAACACCAAAACACTCAATATAAATCTAGTAAATTATAAATATGTTGTAAATATTTGAGTGTTCACAGTTCTGTATTGTTA